CAGAGGGGAGACAAGAAGTGTGCAGATTGGAAGAGGAGTTCGACAAGGATGCTGTTTATCACCAATTCTGTTCAACTTTTACAGCGAATGCCTTACCAAGGAAGCTCTGGATGGGCTCGGAGACTTCAAAACTACATGTTTCGGCCCTAAATGGCCATCATCAGGTGTGTATTCTTACATAGCTCTTACACTGCCTGTTAAAATTTAATTTTAAATTTTAACAGGCAGTGTAACAGCTACGTAAGAATACACACCTGATGATGGCCGAAACATGTAGTGTGGAGTGAGGGGAAAGAAGAAAGAACTACAATAAAATTGTTACACTTAAGACGGTGTTTATCTTATATATATTGTGCGAGTGTAACAGGATGCTCAAATATAATATTGGTCAGGTAATTGTGAATTATAAATAAGGATTCGGAAGAGACAAACACAAAACTTCCTCTGAGAGACTTACGAAAATCAGAAAACCTGAGCCAGGATACGTCATGACTTGGCTAAGATTCAAAGTAAGAAGCTCCTGGATTGTTAATGTTATACCAAACTGTTCAGTAAAAAAGGAAGAGCAGGATTTATTCAAAGTACGAATGATACAATTTTAAATAAGATTATAACATACCCTCCCATTGAAATACCAGTAGCTGCTACAGGTATTCCTGGATGTAAAGATTTCACGTGTCTCACAACTTCAGATAAATCTTCAAAGTTTGCTGCATTGTATGTTCGAGGCGTCTGTAATAAAAACCCACAGATATGGCAAATATATATAATTAATTCTATCACAATCTGTAGACAAATGAATATTTTATGACTTAAAGTAGTCCTCCGACTTAATTTATTTGTAATTTTCTAATTACTTACATCCACAAAATGTTCATTATCATTCATTCCAGATAAAAATCTTAAATATCTCTTTCCAGAGCATGTAACATTTCATGACTTTAAAAGTAACTGCACTCCTTGCATCCAATAGTTTTATTTGAATCACAGACAGAGCTACAATATTATGAGACACTTTTCTCATCACTGAAAAAAATATTCAGCAGGACCTCTAAAAACTGAATACATTATCATAAAAACCTTCTTCGTAACATATCCATACGCTTGTAATACTGACTGTGCAACTCTGAAAACAACCACCTACAGGTTATTCCAGCTACCTTACACCTACGGAGAGCTAAGAAGAGCCCACTGTGTGTCAGAGCTGATCTGGATACCATAAAAAGAAAAATCCTTGTATTGGCCAGGAAGTGAACCCTGCTCAGCCAATCCACAATCGCTCTATTGACTACTAACTATACCAGCTCATGAAAGGGGTTTTGGAGGAAGGAGACACTGGAGAAATTGGCTCACATGATAATGCTTTTGCCTTTTATTTGGGAAGTGCCTCGGCCAAATCTTGGGCAGGACATTGACAACTGTAACTGAGATTTTTCATGGTTTTCCTCATTTCCCCAGGTTAATACTGTGATACTAGCTCTAATTAGGCTGCAATGACTTCCTTCCCCATCTTTTCTAGTTCACAGATCACTGTCATCAAATCATTCTACACTATATAGCTTCAGTTACTGATGTCATTACATAAACTACCAATAGGATATACAGGTTGGAGAATTGTTGAAGAGGAAAATAATGGAAGATCTTTACTGCATGTTATAGGGTTGAACATATTATGAGATGCAGAACACAGGAAGGTGGTGGCACAACACAAAAATGAAGGATTCAGTGATTTAAGCACTTACACAATTTAAAAAGGACATCCACTGAGCAAATTATCCACAGTGGATATTTGACAATTTTCATTCTGTTCATAAAACACTGTTCCAAGAATCACCTTCAAGGACATCCCACCAAGTCCTCTGTAGTTGAAGACAACAGTTCGAAGCTTCATGCGATTTGCTGATAATGAAAGGCACCTAACATACTGTGACTGACTGTCCCCAGTTAGACCAGGAAGAATAATGACAATTGGTGCATTGGCAGGACAGCCGTCTTCCAACCAATCCAGTGCCACCTGTCCACCATCATTCAGTTCTAGGATCTCCCTGCAGACAAAAAGTCAAATAAAAATAATATACTTACATTTAAATTAATAGATTAAAGAGGAACGCATTAAATGATCTCTGTGCTGTGACCATCTATAGCCTACTGTGCATTCCCTTCCCTAAGCTCAGATCTCTAGTAGCCCTGCACTCTGAGTGTGGCTGAGTGTCACTTGCCTGCATTAATGGAGGACCAAGTGGTAGGATCTAAATTCAGCTAAAACCCCATGGTCACGCAGGATGAGTGAAGCTGTTTCACCCTCATCATAGCATCTTGTGCAGGATGGACTATTTACTACTCCCAGCTTAAACAGGTTTCCTTTCAAGTGGCAGTGTCACGTTTGCATTTACACACTTTTTCCATCAAATATCCAGTATTAGATATAGCTGACTATTTTGATATAGATGCACCTCATTCCTCTGACAGATACTGGTTCAGTTACTGAATGAGAGAGACAGCACTTCTCAGACCACAAACTTGTATTAATAACAATACTACTGTTACTACAGTTACTATGCTGCCATGCTCAGTTCTATACATGCCTTTCCATCGACTGACACTAAGCAAAGTGATCCCAATAAGTGTGGATGCAGAGTCCACTGCCCAAAGCCTGTAATCCAAACAATAGTAATGCGACATGAAGAATGTTCATCATTACCACCACAAGAGTCTCATCATTTTGTCCTGCCTTCTATCATGTTTCTTTTCTTTCATTTATTTACATTCCATGGATTCTTACATGGCAGACCAATGGATATAGAAATACAGTCAACTCTCGATTATCCGGGGGCGGATTAACCAGTTTGCGGCTTAACTGGGGCTACTGAGGCTTTTTTGAGGCTTATATGTTGTTTAATATTCATTCACTTTTGTTTCACATGGCAAGTTGTAACACTATTTTCGCACAAGTGTGAACCGAGCTCTGCATTTTTTGGTCCCATTTTGCTAACACAATGTTCTAGGGTAGGGGTGAAAGAATGCAAGGATTTGTGGAAAGTTTCAAGGACAGATACATCGCCCCAGTTAGTATCTTTGTATCGATCTTCAAGTGCGTTAGCAAAATGTCAGGGTGTAAAAGGAAGCGTGTTAAGTATTCAACAGAAAAAGGAAAATGCCATGAAAAAGTAAACAACAATATCAAATTTTTTTAAGTGTTAAGTGTGAATATTCGTAAAAAATGTTGGATGTTGTTGAAGACTGTGATTGAAATAACTAATTCATATTTCAGTGTATGTAAAAAAAGTATTAAATAGGCCATGTGATGACATAAAAATGAGGTTGAATTAATTTAAATACAGGTAGGCCTATACTATTATGAAGGTACAGTATTACAGTACTACTTTTAATAAAATTTGTCTTAACCGGGTTTTCCATTAATCATGATTTCCATCCCCACCATTATCCCGGATAATCGAGAGTTGACTGTAGTCAAAGACAACAGGACAAATCCCATCAATTATATAAATAAAAATTAATTATACTTGATCCATAACAATTACACATATTATCCAAGACAAATCACAATGAGCAATCATTAAACCAGTTATAAAATATATATGTACAAGATTGCATGTTACCAACTTTGTACCTTATTTCTCATTTTAATTCTATTTCCTTTAACTGTTATGCCTCATAAGTAATAAATCACAAAAAAATATATGTAACAAACTATTCAGCACATTATATTAAGCAAAGAGTATTACAAATATGTACAAGCCTTTTCTCTTTTTAGCCTTTCCATTTTTAATTACAGTCTTTCATTAAATCTAAGCCACATGCAGGAAGTTTGCAGAAATAATCATGTATATTCCCAGTCTAACTGACCCAAAGTGTTACCTTTGACAACAGTTGCACCTGTTTATAACCTGAAATGAAAATGCTCTCTCCTCTAGGTTTGATGGTGGTTGAGTATTTTTCTCCTTCATCATCTTTTACCCATGTCTAGATTAGGTAGATGTGTGACACAGCAAAGTAAGAGTGAACTAACTGTGCAGGACGTTTAGGACTATTTCATGTACTGATGGAATAATGCTCTCTTGTTATGCTTCAATATTTTCATTTCATGTAGGTGATGGACACATGTGATGGCTGTTACAGGGATATCTGCACTCTCTTTGATGGGGCCTATAACAATGATTTATTATTTAGAATATTTGAAGCTAAAAACATAAAATATTTTTTGTAGAATAAAGAAAACAGGCATAAAACTCACCGACTGTATTTCACATTAGGATAAATTGATCGAAGCAGGGATGCAAGAGCAGTCTGCAATCTTGATTCAAAGCACCACAATGTTGGCCAGTACTTCTCTTGCAGAATTGGAACATGTAATGCCAAGAAGTTCTTGAACTTTCCATCTGAGCAGACAAGAACTGGTTGCTGATAAATGAAATAACATTCTCCTAAATAAATGTGTTTTAATTTTTGAATATATCTATGCAAGTTAAATAAATGCCATGCAAAGTTTGCACAAGATATATATAAGATTTAAGGTTCTCTCAGTGGTTATGAAGAGTTGTGCCTTCTTGGATATGCTGTATAGCCAACTAATGTTTCGAAGGGACCTGTCTTCTCCATCTCAGGGTTGAAGAATTAGCCAAACAAGAAACCAGAATGAAGCAGGTACCAAGAAGAGCAATCTACTTCAGAGCATCTTCATACTTGATCTTCAAAACCTCTCCCAAAGTTCCATTTCTTCCTTCATTGATACTCTTCAGTGGATTTCATTTAATTTACTACAGCCCAACCACTGATACCTTCTTCAAAGGGCACATGTCATTATCTTTAAAAAAGAACTCTGTGGCTTGAGTTTGCAAGTGAACCACATTGACCGAGTGACCGCCGCTTGTTTGCAAAGTTACTACCAGCTTTAGAGGATAGAGGGTGTCATGTGGTGAGAGCAATAAATCCCCACAGCAGTTAATCCTGGTTTTCTAGACCGAAGCCACTATCTCCTTGAAATAGCTCCTCAATTACCCTCACAAGGCTGAGTGGACCCCGTTCCAGACCCACCACTTCTCAGGAAATCTGGTAGCGCCGGGAATCGAACCCGAGACCTCAGGATCTGTAGCCAGAAACTCTGACCACTAGACCACAGAGGCACTTGGAAAAGTTCAAGTCAGACTCATGAGCTATCTCAATGACCTCTCACTGTGTCCATGAGTAAGGTTTACTTTTAATACACACTGGCTTAAGATCACACTGAATGCCATGTCTATTTTCGTTTGTGGTTTATTCTACAGTGCTTTCATGATCTCAATTACACAGCATCGAATAGCAGGATGATTCACAAATTATGAATTAAAAAGCATCTGCAAAGTAGTGCTACCACAATGTCTGCCTGGTAGGACTCAGAAAATCTATCAGGATAGTCAGTGACTGGCTGAGATTTGAACCAATCACATCCAGAATACAAGTCCAGAGCATCACTGCCAAACCAGCCTGCTTGGTGCCACATTTACTGGTGGACACTTTTTAGAATAACGTCAGAAAGTAAGGACACAAGTCAATCCCAGGGAGAGGATGTGTGAGGGATTCTGGACAAGTATATCAGCCAAGTTTCAAAATGGTATATAACCATACCCTCCGTTCCACCGTGGTTTATGTACATAATAGGAGTTGCTACATTCAATTATACCAACAACAACAATAATACAAGTAATTACAATAAAACATTTGAATCTGGTAAGCAGTATGTTAAGTAGTACTAACGTACATCGAAGTATTTCGCATAGGGGGAGAGGGGAGTCCATTTGGGTCCCCTCGGCATGGTGGCCACTGATTGGCCTATTGTACCTGCCCCAGGGTGATTATGATGATGGGGAATTTGGTGGAATGAAGACCGGCAGGGGAAACAGAAGTGCTCAGAGAAAACCCACCCCAGCGACACTCTGTCCACCAGACCCGGGTTTCAAACCGGGCTAGCACGGTGAGAAGCCAGCGACCCACCGTTTGTGCTATGACGTGGCCTTACTTTGATGTAAGGCACAGTATTATCTAAGAGTATGCCTCTTTTCATTTTAATATGTGGAAATATACAGTGCATATAACTGAATTATACATTAGTTTCTATGTGAACGTAAACTGTTAGCCTCTTATTCAAATAAGTTTTATTAATACCGCACTAATTTGACATAGCATGTATGAAATTAGTTATTTCTGTCATCCTCATCTCCCAGTCTTATCAGTCTACAGCTATCTCAAATGTAACTTGAAGTTCATAAGGTCCTCCCACAACATATTAAAGTCCTTAAAAATTAAGGTCAGACTACAGTTAACCTTTATGATGAATAAGAGAACTGTTTGTTCATCTTGTGTTATGTACTGTAGCAGAAATGCAATTCAAGAATACATGAACTCAAGAAATTCCTCACACACAATAATGATAGCAGTTTTGTGGGCAGTTGGTACACCAGATGTAAAATTTTCAATAAAGTTTTTAGCCTCCAGTCTTCCTTAAAATTATTTATCACAAGTCATACAATATATTACATACAAGGAGTACACGTAAAACGTAAATATGTCCCTGTGCTTAACTAATTAAGTATTATGCCATGAAGATGTAGGGGGGGAGTAGATATTTAAGACCATGATTTCTTGACCTCAGCACTAGTTGCAGTAAGCAGTCAGCTTCACGTCCTTGCTGCTTTACATCCAGGGAAAGATCCCAGTACCCATTGGACAGGAGACTCTGTGGGCCCTAGAACCAGTCTGAATGACATGGAGAAGTGAAAATTCTTGACTCTACTGGGGCTGGAACTCCAAACCCTTGGACATCCAGTCCATATACCAGTTTCTATACCGCTCTTACATACAAGGAGTACTCAGCAGAATTTATGAAGTCTATTTTCTATGGTACAGATTTTCACAAAGACTGGTGGTTTTATCAGTATCATACAGCTGAAGGTTGGTATGTATGTGTGTGTTATTATTTAGTTTATTTTATATTTCAGTCCTACAAATCTTGTGTCAATATTATATGAGGGAGCGTCAGTAAACAGGTCACAAATGGGTATAAAACATAAACCATTTGATACTGAAACCTGGAAAAAAACATTTATTTCTCAACATATCCTCCACCAACATCGATACACTTGACCCATCACTTTATCAGTGTTTCAAAATTCACAGCACAGACATTTTCTAACTGTTGTCTTATTCACTTCCGCACCTCCATTTCAGCCTTTTTGTCATCACCGAAACATTTGTCACTAAAATATTTCTTTAGTGGACCAAACAGATGGTAGTCATTAGGGGCAAAGTCAGGGTTGCAAGGTGGATGTTCAAGAAGTTCCCACTGTACTCCTTGAATTCTCTCCTGGGTTGCTCCAGCTGTATGGGGTCTTGCATTGTCATGTTCAGGCAGTACTCCTCTTGCCTGCTGGCCTGGATGTCATCTGCAAATTCCATCCTGAAACTAACTTCACAGCATGATGCAGAATTCACATTTTTCCCAAGTTTCTTAAAATGTACTAAAAAATCTCCCTGATAATCCCAAAACATGGTAAGCGTAATCTTGCCAGCTGATGGCATAAACCTTCAGACTGAAGGTTAACTGGGATGCTTCCATTGCACTGAAGCACATTGTGATTCGGGTTAGCAGTCATGTTACCCATGATTCATCCCCAGTAACAATCTTGTTAAGCATATCTTCTCCTTCATCTACATGATGTAAGAGATGTTGGAAGGACAAATCCATTCAGCTAATTATTTCTTGATCCTACAGTTCTCTGTGCACCCACCATGCGCATAAATTCCAGAACTTTAAACGATCATGCATTATGCTGTATGCTAAACCATGGGAACATCCTAATGCAGTTCCTACACTATCATTATCTTCCTGTCAGCTCAAATCAACTGTTCCACCTGCTGCACAGTTGCTTCTGTAGCAATCTGATTGGGCATCATTTCCAACTTTTGAACATCCTTGAAAGAATTTCTCAACCCAGTCATGAACTGCTTTACACAACAAATACTTCCCACCATAAATAGGTAACATTTCTTTATGAATATCCTTTGCACTGAGTCCTTTTGCCTACACAAAAATGCACAAAAGAATGCTGCTATTCGGTAGTATACGCCTCAAGTACGGTTGTTATTTTCACTACTGAAACCAGTCTCTGAACATGGACGTGTGTGTCTGCTACCTAGTGATACACATAAAAAACCTACTATGTCCATTACAACTGTTTTACTTCCATTTGTGACTCTCCCTTCTACCATTTATGTCCTGGCAACAGCTCGTTAAAATGCAGTTTTGCTGAGGGCGAATGTATTAAGCTTGTAAGGAACTGGTCTCAGAAACCCTACTGGAGTTAGCACTTTCTTTTAGCTTATAATTCTGTAAATATGCTACACAGATCAGGAGCTTCATAATCTGTACGCTTCTCCAAGTATAATTAGAAAGATCAAGTCAAGGAGGATGAGGTGGGCTGGGCATGTAGCAAGAAAGGGGGAGAAGAGGCATGCATATAGGATATTGGTGGGAAAGCCAGAAGGAAAGACACCACTGGGAAGACCAAGGCATAGGTGGGTGGACAATACTAAAATGGATCTTGGAGAGACAGGATGGGATGGTATGGATTGGATTGCTCTAGCTCAGGATAGGGACCAGTGGAGGGCTCTTGCGAGCATGGTAATGAATCTTCAGGTTCCTTAAAATGCTGGGAAATTCTTGAGTAGCTGCAGATTTCGCATCTCCTCAAGAAGGGCTCAGTTCCTTAAGTATGTAAGTAAATGTCACACAGATCATCACCGTCACCTTTGTAGGAAGAATAAACTGCTTAAATACACATTCTGCATGTGACATCCGAGATTCTCATGATGGTAACTATGAAGAATGCTGTCCCCTGGGATGTGACACTGTGTAGGCTGAAGCAAGTTCATTAAAATTTTTGAAGACTGTATGGTGTCACATCTCAGATGGCAACTCTCTTCAAATTCTCTGTACAATAAATTTGTTGTAAATAACCTCAAACATTCATATTATCACCACGGTTGTAACTCATCGCCTTAGCTTTCAATAGTGCAACATTTTGTGGAACAGAAAAGGTTTCAAACATGCATATTTGAATGCGGGTACTAGAACAAAAGAGAATTGCTTTCTTTAAAATTCTGCTGGAATTTCAATGAGATTCAAGGCATCTTCCTGGAGGTAAGGATGGCCAGTGCGTAAGGCTAACAGCCTTATCGCCATCTGTGAGCCGAATGTCTACAAAATGTGGGAGCTCCAACATGTTACAACCATACTGATCTCGACAGCCTGTTACAGGGATATCTTTACTTTATCTACCACATAACCCCCATGCCCTAAGGCACTATGGAAAGCTGTTGATGTATGAATATTAAAAATAATATGAATATAATATGATTACAGAGCT